AAAAAAAAAAAAAAAAAACCAAACCAAGCAACTTCTCCCTTTACAAACAGAATGGGAACATTATCTCCCCTTCCATCAATGCATGGCCATCCCTGCTGACCTGATACCATTCCCAAGGCTTTGTCCCACATCCTACCAGTCAGTAGTGATGTTTCCTGTCACTTCATACAAAGCCAGACCTCCAGCAGTGCAAAACCAGCCCTAAAATCCCACACACAGCTTCCAATCCCTTCTGTTGCCCTGCACGGGGTATTTTCACAGCCCAGGTTCCTTCCTGATCTTCAGAAGTTTTACAGTCACTGAAATCCACTGGCTGCCAGTAAAGGAATCCCAAATCCCAGCAGCTCTGTAGRAGGAAATTCAAGCCTTTATCACTCACTCTGGGTGAAGCTTGCTGTAGGCAGGATTTCCAAGGTGTCTGACCTCACACTGCACATTTTTTCCCCTTGCACAGAGCTACAGGAGGCAGCCCAAGAAATGGAACATTTCTCCGTGGCTGTGTATAGTACTTGTAGCTGCTACAGCACTCCCAGAGCCCACCCACAATTTCATTTTCAATTAGCAGCTCTTGGAAAAGTAGTAATGAAAGCAGTTGCTAAAGAGCACTCAGATGTCATTGAGAGCCTGCAAACCCAAACTGTAAATAGCACATTGTAAATGGCTTGTCAGCACAGTCGGCTCTGCCCGGGATCGCAGTGCCGGTGACAATCCAGCCCATCTGCTCCCTCCCGACCGATGTCACCGCACCGGGGAGCCGGCAGCACCTCCCGCCCCGCTCCGTTCGCTGCCGGGTGCCGGCTGTTCTGAGAGCCCATTGCGGCCGTGCTGCCTGCAGGGACAGCTCAGCACAGGGGATTGCACCCTCTGCACCCCGGCTCTGCTGCTCTGGGGCACCCGAGCCCCTCTGCACCAGGGCAYGAGTGGGCTGGGGCTGAATCACAGCACSGTGAGTCGCAGRGGCTCTCAAGTGACCATGGCAGGRGGCGACASTGGCTGTTGYGAATCAGTAAAASCTTATAAAACAAGGGCCTTGTTACCCTTGTAAAACCCCTGCTCTCTTCTGTTACTTYGGCYAACCAGAGAAGGATTCTGGGAATGATTCTGCTGAACTAGAGGTGAAAAACAAGTTACATAACCCTGGAAAACAAGGGATAGAGCTYGTATTYCTACCCATGAGAATGTGKTATCAACAGAAGTAAGAAATTKAAACAATAGAAGGAGAAAACAGCAYGAAGGCTGCACCTGGTGTTTTTCTGAATGCTGAACACTTATGCTATAGCTGACYAGTAGTGGTGTGCTRTAGTTAAACRACAGCCAATGAATCTRTTGTAGTAGTTTAGTAGCCAATGAATATGTAACACRAATGATAACACACAGTAGTGTATAAATGAGACTGATTCTTGGAATAAACAGCTTTTTGGCCCTTTTCGAGGTACTGTCCSTGTGTGTGTTGTGGCCGCCCCAACAGCGACAGCTGTCCAGATCAGCCACCCAAAGGCTCAGCATCTCAGATTTAAGATGTATAAATCCAGGGTGAGACTGCCAAGGGGATCGTGGACTTAATTCTGAGAAGGAACAGCTTCACTTTCCCCTCCCTCCCCTGTAATTGATTCATGTAATGGACTAKGAGGTGAAAGCTAATGGTTTATAAAGCTCGTAGCTGGGTACTGCCAGAGTCAACAGTGTATCTCCTGTTGTTCTTCCCATTTTKCCTTTGTCTCATTAAAATGTACCTCCTAATTCATCTCTCCATCATGAGCTTTTTTCTCTTTATTTATCATCCACCCCGTCTTTATTACCATTTGTCTCCTTCCCTGCACTCCTGCGGTATCTGGGATTGGGATTTGATATTCTGGAAGTGTCTCTGGAATCAGGGAGAGAAGGCAGAGCCCAGCAGCCGCTGGCTCTCGTGCAGACACRAGCCAGCCAAAGTGCCCCTTGCCCAACACACCTATTGCTGATCATACATAGATGATCCTTTTCTGCAAGAAGACGCAAAAATCTCCCAGCAGATAAAGAAAACAATGAAGGAAATGGTGGAGATAGCAAAAGTCGGTGTCTTCTGCTCTTTCAAAGGCACACACTCACTGAACAAAGAGAAATTACTCTTTCCTCTCATTATCAGAATACTCTCCACACTCTTTCTGCCTTTAAAGCTCATTGTTTCCTGATATGCCCCACTGTGCCCAGACCTCGAGGAATAAAATCTCATTAAAACCTATTTAAAAATGTTTGCCACCCTTTTACTAGTTAAAAAATGTTCACTTTAAGATTTCCAAATGATTTTTACAGAAAGCATATAAAAACATGCCATCACCAATTAACGTAAAGGAAATTAAATTTAAAACGCTGGAGAAATATTCTGATGAGTCTTATGTTTGCTTAACGCCAACTAAAATTTCCTGGAGGCATTTAATAAGTACATTTATAAAAGCTCACAAAGCAGAGTTCAAAAGTCTTCTCGCTAGTAAAATATGAGCCTTAATTAACCTACAGTTTCACATTTTCTGGATTTCAATAAACCTGTAGGCATTTCAGCAGAGCTGGATAAATACCTGCATGAATACTGCAAGGATTTTTCTCTGAAAACTAATTAGCAATGCTTTCAATAGCTGACTTCAACTAAATCTGTTTGACAAGGGAGCTTCATACCCTAAATCCTGCAGTGAGAGTTACTTCCAGCAGATAACAGATTTCACAGGAAAGCACATCCAACAGGACTGTCAAGCACTGGTAAAACTATGAGCAGGATTTCCAGGTGTAAAACATTTCCAGCAAGGACAGACTGCAGGCAAGGTCTCATGGCAGGAATGCAAGTGACAGCACTGAGATTGCCTCTTGCAGTAATCACAGGTGACAATTCAGGATTCTCCCAGAGACAGCAGAGGCAGCATAAATTGTTTGTGTATAAAATATACAGCCCTAACATAGCAGGGGCACTGCATACACCCAGAAGCCTCCTGAACTCGAAGTGGCCCCGGACACTCCTGCTGTGTCACATACAAACCACAGTGACCCCAGTTCTTGGCGTGTTGCCATCTGAGGAAGTGGACAACAAACATACTTCCCCTTCAGGAGCCCACAAATTCAGTTGGATGGACCTGGGTGGGGAAAGCAACCCGAGGTGTGCAGCCACAAGTCGCTCAAGCAGGAGAAATGTAACATGATCAGAAAAAAAACACCCTCAGAACTTATCAATTTTCTTCTTTTATACTCTTCACCATTTGTCTTGAAAGAGGACATAAAATGCTTACCCCAAACTCGAAACTGTCTAAAGGTGGTGGGCATATCTTTTCAAAGAACTTCATAGTCTTTTCCGTGACATCTTTTTTTCCAAGTCCAAGTGCCAAAGCTGCATGGGTTTGTCAGCACTGACACTGTTTGTGAGACTAAAATGTTCTTATCTGAAAAGCTCTATCCCTACCAAATGTATTACATTTATACTGAGCAAGRTATTTTATTTCCTCTCAGTCTTATCCCTTAGGAATTAAGCAGAGTACTCAGATTTATCAGCTCAAAGGAAAAGCGTTTTCTATGACATTTGTCAACTCAATACCTTCCAAGCCAGAGCATATTTATTTCCAAAAACACAACCTCACAAATAATCTCCATCAACCTCACAAATAATCTCCATCAGGCCGATTTCTTTCACAGCTGACATTCTGGGCAGAAAGGTCCCACCTGGCATTAGACCATACTGGGAGAGTTCACAGTGCAAATATTCAGTTCTGTTGCCCAAAGCAGAGCATTCACCAGCTGACAGACCAAAACAGATCAGAGACCATCGGGGTGCAAACAGGAAASCATCAAAGAAACACAGTAACCTTCCATATCTACTGACAGTACAACCATCGCATCAGCTATGCTGAAGTTTTCCCCTCCTTCCTTTGAAATACCAAGTAAAGTTAAATTAGAAGAAACAYCTTTAAGAGCTGKTAGTGTAGAACAGGCATTTTACAGTTTGTTTGCKCCACTGAAGTACTGTATAATCTCTTACTTCACTCCTATATACAGCTTAAGCTATAGGCTTCAAAATCATCACAAAACCCAATTTTTTTCCCAGCTTCTCTAACTCTGCATATCAAAATTGAATACAAGTCAGCATACTTGTCATCCTCAATGTTCCTTCCATCTCCCTGAACTCACAAAATGAGAAGCAATGAATTCTCACAATTTTCTACAAGTTTCTCTGCAAAGCAATGCTTGCCTTGCACTAAGCAATGATGAAGACTGATTCCATGAATATCAACCAACCCCATAGAACATTTAAATTTTAGTTCAAGAGTCATTAATATCACTCAAGATTAGGCAAAAGCTGACCTTGTCACTACCACTATTTACTATTACCAACATCACAGAAATCACACTTGTCACGATTTCTTCTTTCAAAAACATAMCAAACACAACCCTGCACAGTCACGAAGAAGAATCCAATGTTTTCAGCCTCAAGCTTTGCAGCCCTGGATGTTCCCTGCTCACTTCCCACCAGAAGTGAGGGAAGGCAGAAGCTCTTGCTTAGGGTGGGTGAGCAGTAACTAAGGGTAGCAGACACCACCGACACCCTACAAATGAGCTCCTTGCACTCTAATCAGTCGTAGGACTTCGCCTTGATTAACAACTGCCYTTGTTGCAATTACCTCACCTCACCCTGGATGTTCAGAGGGCTTTTCTGCRCACAAAGTCTGGAGACAAAAAGGTCTTATAGAACAAAATCGGCCTCACAGTTACAGAGAGACCACATTTGTTTGCCCCGACAGCCTGCAGAAAGCTTTTCCCACTTTCACACATTGATCCATCAGATCAACTCTGGCATCAATCCACCACTTGCTCCTCCTCTCAGTCCCCCTCTTCCAGGGGTTTGACAGCACCGAGAGCTCAAAACCAACACAACTACCAAAGCATTAAAACAAGCGATCCCACAAAATGAGAAATCGGCTTCTACATACCAGGGGCCAGCGGGCAGAGCCCTCCCTCCCCGCTGCAGGGAACTTGTCTCCCACCTGTCTGAGGCYCTTTGGTAGCTTCTTCCTTTTCCCGAGGTGCTGGCACAGATTGCGGTCATTTTCCCGGTCTGAGCTGTACTGGTGGTGGTGGAGCCTGTTCTTTTTTGGCAGATACGACAGCCCATTGGTAAGTGCTTCCCGTTTCTTCTTGGCCAGAGGGTTCTGCCKCTTCTCCACGCGTTCCTGAGGTTTCAGAGCTACGTCCTTCTGCAGAGAGACAAGAGAAATGCACAGTGGTTAAACTGCAGCTCTGGTTTGGTTCTGGGTGACCTGCAAAGCACTCTCAGGGCAATGCTGCAGTCACCAGAAAAGGAAAAACCCACTGTTCACTGATTCCTCTTAATCAAAAGTAGGAAAATGATGAATAAAACTGGCAGGATGAAGTGAGGGCATGGAAGGAGACACATCCTCCTTGAGATTTCATACAGTAAACCTCAATTCTCAAAGGCATCTCRTGTATCAACTGAGCATGCATTTACAGGACAGCATTTGTTTGTAATGTTTAAACTAACAATCTGCTTTGTTTTAAACAATGCTCAACTTTCCAATATTTATTCTTATAATTTCTTGTGTTTGAGAAGCCAAGGCAYGAGCTGACCTAAATCCAATTAAGGCCAATGAATCTCCATTGACTTCAGGGCACATTTCCCTCAAGCCTGACTGAAGCAGTAGATTTCCAAATCACAGCGAGAGGGGTGAAAAGCGCACAAAAAAAGCAACCTGCATTGAAAACTTTGTCACTGGCCCTTTAACCCCCAGAATCAATGTCYGTCTATAAAAATACTCCACTCTTGTAACACAGATGTGAGTTTTGTCACTTAGCCCACAGCTGTTTTCTTACAAATAACCTGCAACACATAGAATCCCTTTTTGTTTCAGATAAATGTTACTTGAAATGAATCTTTTTCAGTGGCACAGAATGAAAGGCAGAGGAAGAGGAGGCTGGAGAATTCATTAGGAGAGAAGGATGAGAAGGTTTGGACAGATGTCAGTGACTGTGTATCCAATAAAGGCAATGTGCTGAGTCACCTCTGCTCCAGGAACTGTCCTCATTCAGGGGCTGGTGCTGCCCTGTGAGGGGATGCTACTGAGACAGGGTCATGCTTTTAGCACTCCTGGCTGCTTTCACCACAAGCTTCCATGCCCATCATGAGGCACTGGGTAATCTTGTGAGCCTTTCCGCTGTTGTTTATTGTCACTTAATATTGTAGCTGACAGCAGGAAAGGCTATTGGTCCCTGTGTCACGTAAAGACTGAGGCTCAGGAGAATATAATTCAAATTATGGCACCTTTCAATGCAAAAAAAAAAACATGCCTAAAGGCAAAAAGCAGTTTGGCTTTAATTAAAGACTGCTCCCTAAATGACTCTCCGAAACACAAGAGCACACAAAATTCATAACTGTAACCAATGAGAAGATTAATTAAACTGAAGACAGCCATTGTTCAAGTTTGATATTTAGCGAATGACTTTACAGGCATTAAAGATGGGAGTGCTGAACAGAAGCTGTAAGACACTTTTTCTACCTTTTCTTCACCTGAGATGCTACAGGAGATTCCCTGGGCTTTTCTTCACACAGTGATATTCATATYCAAAAAGCTAGGAGCCTTTTCCAACCTCATGAAAGAGAATTTTTTGCATCCTGAGCTATAACACAGGTTTAGTAATTCAACAACCTCCTGTSTCTCTTGCTGGTTCCTCGCTGGTTCTTCTGAAAAAGAGTTCAACAGTAGCACCGATCTCCCTAAAATGCTTTGGGATCTCCTCGTGCACAAGCTGAGGGATCTGATGGAGCTGCCCAAGGAAATCAAAAGCAAGAACAGCCCCTTTTCTTAGCACACCCTTTGCCTCCCTTCCCAAGGAAAGTTTTAGCTTTAGCTGCATGCCATAAATTCAGGAAGGCAATTTTCAGGTGCAGTGACCATTTCACCAATGCTCACTGCATACACACCTGGACCTCCTGGACAGCAAGGGCAGGTTATAAAATAACAGCTATTTTATCTTAAAACTGATTTCTAACACACAAATAATATTTTTTTTTTTTTTAGTTCAATATAAAAAAATCTAATGTTTTATGAGCAGAACATTACACCAGCAAAGATTTCTGTTAAAACACAGAGCTCRTGTCTGCAGATACAAATGCTATTCAAGAGGATTCATGCTAAATGTGAAAGGCTGAAGGAGTGAACAAAGGGAAACTTTTTGGAAAAAAAAAATCTTCTAATGACTAAGTAGCTTTTGTGGGATTTTTTTTTTCCCCAGCTGTGAGTGATCTAAATGAAACAGTGGCAGGCTTCCAGAAGCTTATAAAATATCTAATGGGGCCAGGCAYTTCCATAAGAAATAACTCGTTCCTATTAGCTTTAAGGGGGGCATGAKATGGGTCAGACCCTGCAGATCCCTGTGGATGTACCTGGGGTAACCCCCCCTCAGAGCCCATGTTCCAGACACCTTCATAAAGCTCCACATATTGTCAGATACACCCAAAGAATGTGGAGCTCATGTCAGAACTGGGGGGAAGGAATCTGCTCATGCACCTTTGGCAAAGGTTAGTGGCACCAAACTCACAAAGGCTCCCCCAAAGTGGATGGAAAGGCACCTTCCAAGGCAGGAGGAACGATGGGCAGGAGTTTTGAAAAATGAGGTGCCTTTTCAGCTCATGAACAAAGAGAGGCAAAGGAGCTCCCCACATGTCTAAAGGGGCCTTAAACTCTGTTTAATGGCTGGGCTTGCTGTGAGATTTAGACCTAAAGATTGGTRTTTAGACAACTGTTCCTCCAGAGGAGCCATCTGCTTTTCACAGCTGACACCCCTGTGGGGAAAATCCCATAGTGCTGGGGCTCACCCCCTCTGCGAGAGAATTGTGGGGTRCMGCCTCTCATGGCTTTCAACAGAGAYATGACTGGGCCCTAGAAGGAATAGGTGCATAGAAATATATGTGAAATTCTTCATCTGCAGGCTAGACTGCAACAGGACAAGATAAAAGTATAAATCTTAGACACAGGTGGGAAGGATGCATTAAAAGGAGCGTGAACAGAGCTCTCCCAGGGTGTTTCTCCTCATGTGTGCAGAGTGCCTCAGATTTTCTCGGGTTGTGCCCGTGGAACCCTGGGCTCTGTGGAGGTGGTGGCTGGCTGGGAACCATGGCCGTGCATAAATCACTTCCCCTCTTGCTGCCCTTTCTCCCTCGTACCATTTTTATCTCCCCCTTGTTTAGATAGGACAATGGCTATACCACGCTGTGTGCTAGTACATGAGCCAGCACAATCTTAATTACAGACTTCAGGCATCATCATGATTAGAGTAATAAGCTGTAATTACTCTAAGGTGACAGGACTGCACAGACCTTATCTACACAGATAAGAAGACGCAGCAATATTTCATGTCGAGCCGTATTTCTGAGCAGCTGCCCGTGGAGTGGATCCAGCCTGAGCAGCAGACCCCATGAACACAGCCAGTCTCTAATGGAGGTTTTTCTCCTCTCCTGCCAGCACGCAAGCCCACACACTTATTAAGGAAATCCTACAAACATATTAGGCACAGTTTAAAACCATCTCTTTCAGAGATATCTTTCATCAGTAAAGTGCCTTAAGTGTATCAGGAAGGTGACTTAAATGTATAAATATGTAATTACATGCAATTCAATACAGAAGGGCATTAATATTTATGAGTGTACTGTATAATCTAAAGACATTTCCATTTGTTTTATTTCTATTGGKCACATTAATCAAGCTGATCCCACTGCAGGTGCCGTGGCAGGGAAGGAAGGGCCTCCYGTGCTGGGCAGGGGTGGCACTGCAGTCACTGGTCCCAGTTCCCTGCTGGGTGGAGGGAAGGGGAGCATCCCCCATGGGTCCAGTAGGTCATTTGTCAGGGTGCAGCCTTGAAGGACACGCTGYATTCTCATCGAGTGTGGCAGGGAGCTGGGCTTGATTTATTTCAGCCAAGTCCGCTTTCTTGCTCAGTAAAAGACAACTCATTGATCAGAGCTCACATCCTCAGTGGGAGCAGAGCAGAATTGGTGGGGMACACACATCACCCCATAAACCTCAGCCCAGCCAGTCCAGCCCTGCCCTCCCCTCCTGCCCCTGCCCTCTGACAGCAAACTTAAAAACAACACATAAATAACCCTGTTTTACTCCTTACTACAGGATTCCTCTGTGGGAGCACTGGGTGAAGAACAACACTGTAAATGCAGTGTGTAGCAAATGCKCTGCAGAAATTTCTCTGCATGAACATTTCAGGTGCTGCTCAGGGATTTTAAGCCTTGACCTTTCCAAACCATCCTTGTGGATTATCATTACAATTCCAGCTTGTAAAAGCTTATTTTCTGAATTTGCACTGGATGTGATCTCAGTAAAATACAAATTTTAAAAACTTATAATTCAAACCAAGAGTAGTTTACACTGCAGTGCTAGTTGAACCAAATTACAATTGCAACAGTCYACAGCTATATTCCAATTATTTGCCCCTCAGGTTCTTGCAAAAGTCCTCTCTGGCTTTGTATCAGAGCCCAACAATTTATCCTTCACTCCAACAATAAAGAAATTGGACATTTTTTTTAAAATGTCAAATAGTCAGGAAATGYCAATGAAATGCTCCACTTTGAACACAAATATTTAGAAAATCAAGCTTGAAGCTGCCAGTCTGCTCCATTCACTATTCAAACATCCAGGAGTCCCTGTCAAGGAGAGCTGTAAGAGAGGCACTTCTGGAGCCTTTCAAGGAACAAACAATTCCCGTTTGATCAGGAACACCAGTGMAGAAGGAAGAAGCCAATTAAGGGGAAAGAAAATACATTTTCAGTAGCTACAAAAGTCGATTTGAAATTCTTTGCCAGCTCCATCCCAAGCCCAGGACAGCTCTCAGCCTGCTGCCAGCTGCAGCAGCTCCCAGGGACGGGAGGGGAAGCAAGAAACGGCCAAGAGGAACAGCACAGAGACTGAAATRATGACAAACCCATGTCCTCCAAATCCACCCAGGACACTGGGTACAGGAGTTTAGCCTGCAAGAAATTAGGATGCCTGCAGGGTACAGCAGAGAGAAATCCTGCAGCTTGGCCAGCACAGAGTCCCAGAGTGGTTTGGGGTAGAAGGAAACTTAAAACCCATCCAGTGACACCCCTGCCATGGCAGGGACACCTCCCACTGTCCCAGGCTGCTCCAACCCTGTCCAACCTGGCCTTGGATCCCCCAAGGATCCAGGGGGCAGCCAC